AAAAACACAAATGATAACTAGTGTTTTAAGTTTCAATTTTTGTATATTGCATTTCCTAAAGGGGCTACCTCCCGCACAGAGAGAAAAAGCCAGTGATACCTCTTGGCCACAAGAGGGAGCTAAACATTTGGCTCCCTTCGTTATTACTAAGGGCATCTTCTGCCCTATTTCCTGTGCTACAGAATAATTCACTTACTGTCTTCAACGTGGCTTTGATTTGTGGCATTACCTCTATCACTCTGACTTCAAGTCCTCTCATGACTGACATCTCTAGGAGCTGCCTCAGATGAGAAGCACAATAATTATAATATTCACAACACTGGAGCTTTTATTTTCCTAACACACTTACCAAACATTCAGTATCAAAAACATCCTATACCATAAGGGAGAGAGCTGATGACAAAATCTTCTACAAAAAAATTTTTCTTTGTAAATACTTCTTGTGTTCCTTCTTCCAATGAAATCTGTTTAGAACTCTTTTTATACTACTATTAAAAAAAAATAGGCCATCTCTTTAATAATGAATAATTCCCCTTGTAAAACTGTACAAAAGTTTTAAAGACTAATATGCTTAACATATATGGAGATCATAGCAAAGTAACTGAAACTTACAAAATTATTTTTAAATGTAACATCTGATCTTATAAAAAGATTAAATGCATGATGCAAACAGCCACAAAAAATACTAGCATGAATGCTAAAGAAATAAGTTTTACATCTTCATACTATCTTATGAACTAACCATTTTTAAAAGTACTCAAAGTATGTATCATCAAAGTTGCCTATAGCAATCTAGTCATTTTACACAGAAAAATATGATCCAAATCATGCAGAGTATGTGAATAAAATGGCTAGATTTGAATAAGAATTGGAATTAGATTTCTAATTTATGACACCGACAGATCACAACAGTTAGTTTGGTGACCACCTGATTTTATTAAGTCAGAATGCTGGAGTAAAACATATATGAAATACAGGCAGTTAAAATTTGCTATTCTTTGGGGCGCCTGGGTGGCTCAGTCGGTTGAGTGACTGACTTCGGCTCAGGTCATGATCTCACGGTTTGTGAGTTCGAGCCCCGCATCAGGCTCTGTGCCTACAGCTAGGAGCCTGGAGCTTGCTTTGGATTCTGTGTCTCCCTCTCTCTCTGCCCTTCCCCACTCATGCTCTGTCTCTCTCTGTCTCAGAAATAAATAAACATTAAAAAAAAAATTGCTGTTCTTTGCCACAAAATATGATAAACAATAGATGCTTGCATTATACTCTTTTCTCCGAGGTAAAGTAATCAGGTTGTATTTTTTTCTGCATTAAGTCTACAATACTTATGTTCTTATTCAAGATAAAATTATAGATATCACTTGTGAGGAAAATACTAAAGAGAAACATCTTGTTTACGTATCTGAAAATTGTCATGACTAAAATGTTGGCATACACAGCTTGGGCTCTGATGAGATTACATGTGTCTAGAAAACAGGACTGACCATGGCCTAGAAGAAAAACCCTTGTTTGACTGATACAAAAATGGATCTGCAGTGGTCTTACATTCTGTTTTCTAGGGAGAAGTGTTTGTGGGTGTAGTAATATATTTCAAGTAACAGACACTCAGTGAGACTACATAAACAAGATACCTAGCCTAGTCCAGTGGTACAGTCCATAGACTCTGGACGCCTGGATTCAAAACCCAGCTCTTCCTCTTACTAGCTGTGTCATCATTCATGAGGAAAAAAGTGATGCTATGGTAACAATGTCATAGGATCATTGTCAGAATTGTTTAATGAGACATATACTTAGGGAAATGAAGACAGGACTATTTTTTGCTATTACTATTATTTTTACCTATTATTTTAGCTGCTATCCTTACCTATTATTTTTACATTATGAGAACTCAAATGATGTTTCAAAGCCAACGACTGAACCAGTTCAGAGAATCTTTTTTTTTTTACTTGCAATGAGAAAAATATATATAGGCTGAAGCTATACATGGGCTCAAGTAAACTATTTTTCATCAGGAAACTATTTTGATTCTGGACTGCATCTCAGGGTAAGACATGTATCTCACAGGCAACCAACAGAATTTTTCTGGATCTTTAAGTCTTCCCCTGCCAACGCTTCACTCCCAGATATATTTATATACATTTTCCATCTCCAAAAGAAAAAAAAAAAATTCAAAGAAACCACGACACAAGTATTTGTAATAAAAACAGAAAGAAAAAAAAAAAGCATACCTGGGTAATCTTCAGATACATGTACTGAATAGGATACACTGTTAAAACAGGAAAAAAGAGAAAAAAAAGGCTCAAGTTACTGCTAAAGAATATATGTTTTTACAAAATAAAAACCGTCATATTACCCATTCATTTTTATAGATGAACAACTAACATCCAAAACAGATTAGAAAGAATATTTTGATTTTTGACATCGGAAACTTACAGAGTTTTAAGATATACTTTCTGTGAGTGTAAATGATTTTTGAAGTATCGTTCTTCCCACAGTGGTACTTTGAGTACAGACAGGTCTTTTTAATCTCAGCAATATCTAATATTCCCTAATCTATGATCACTTGTGTCATCTGCTCAGATTTTATCAAATCACCTTCTTTTAACCCAAAATAAAGTATTCTTTTTGTTCGGTACGGCAGTCCAGAATTTAAACATTTGTTTTTGATACTGCTTCTCCACAATCTGCTGTGATTCTGAAACACGTCCTTTTCTTCAAAGACTTAACAAAATGATGACAGCGTAACTCATAGTTGTTCATCAGCCAATCTCTCATCGTCACGACATAGAATAAACGAACTATCTCCAGACCTCAGGAGGACTGGGTTGCCTTAAAAACAATTTTTAAATTGCATTTTAACAATTTCACAACTCCTTCCCCAGTAACCCTACTGCCTTCAGGTATTACCTCAATGACACATGGGAAGCTATCACGATTACTTCTCCACTTTCCTCTCTCTATCAGCTAGACTGTGAGTCTCTTGAGGTTAGGGTCCGTGTCTATTTTATTTTTAGCACAGTCCTCTATTTTACTGCATGACACACAGAACATATTCAATATTAGCTTTCTGAAGAGATTGGTGGAACTGCCACCTGCCAGAGAAAAGTCAAAATTTAGTTTAAGTTCAGCCAAATTAACTGCCTGTTAACACAAATCAATTCTCTTTGAAGGAACAAAAAAAATAGAATCTCTGCAAAGTATCATTCACAAAGTGAATCCTGTAAGATTCAAATTACTTGACATATGAACAAACAGGAAAATCTAACCTATATTCAAGGGAAAGTTTGACCCAAGTGCTGGAATCAGCCCACAATGATGTTAAAAAAGTTATTATAAGTATGTTTACGGAAGTAAAAATGAAAAATCCAATCCCAAGAAGAAAAAACAGATCATCAGGGTCTTTTGGACACTAGTAAAAGAGCAAACATTTTGTATAACTAAAGTTTCAGGAGGTAAAGAGAGAGAAAACACTGCAGGAAAAAAAAAAGGGCTGGCAATTTCCCAGTTTGAGTCAAAGACTGATGTACAGACTGAAGAAGCCCAGAAAACCCCAAACAGGTTACATGCAGAGAAAGCTACATCCAGGTGCACGTGGGCAAACTGCTGAAAACCAAATATAAGGAAACATTTTTAAAAGAGACAAAACTGACACTATACACATAGGAAAACAATAAGAATCAGTGTTTCATAAGAAACTATGGAGGACAGAGGACAGTAGAATGATGAAAAGCTGGGGGAGAACTGTGAACCCCGAATTCTACATCCAGGCCACAGATCTTTAAAAATGAAGATAAATTTAAAAACTTACAGATGAAAGAAAATTGTGGACGTCTGTGCCAGCAAACCTAAGGCAGAAAAAATCCCAAAGTTCTCCAGGTGAATGATATCAGAAAACAAAATATCCAGAGAATGAAGAGTAGCAGAAATTGTAAATATAAAAGACTATTTTTCTCTTACTGTTTTAAAAATACATGACTTGTTTAAAGTAAAAATTCTAACACTTCATTGTGGGATTTATAACATATGTAAATGTAATACACATGACAATTATAGCATAATGTCTGGGAGGGGTTAAAAGCTCTTATGTAGTTTCAAGGTTCTTCTATCTTATTCAAAATGGGATAATACTAACCCTAAACAATAACTTCTAAGAAAAGTTAAGGATATACACTGTAACCTCTAGAACAACCACAAAACAAAGAAACAAACAAGCAAACAAACAAATAAGCAAACCTTAAAAGACAATAGCAAGGATTGCATTAAATGTGAATGGACTAAAAGGCAAAGCCAGCCAGAATGGATTTAAAAAAGCAAGATCCAATTCTATGCTGTCTTTAAGAGATCCACATTAAATATAAAAGCACAGATTCAAAGTAAAGGAGGAAAAAGTTATACCAATGCAAATAGTAAGCGTAAGACTCACGTTTAAATTAATAATGAAGACTTCAAGACAAAGATACAAAGAGATCATCATAATGATAAAAGGGTCAATTCATCAGGATGAAGGCACAACAATCATAAATGTGTATGCACCTAATAACTTCAAAATACATGAGGCAAAACTTGACAGAATTAAAAGGAGAAAAACACAACTCCACAATCATAATTTGAGTAACTGATAGAACTAGACACCCCCCACCCAAATCACTGAAGACCGAAGATCCAAAATAGATTTTAATTACTGTAGAATATCTTTTCCTTTCAGATACACATGGATGGAACGTTCACCAGAAAAGATCATTCACTGTGCTATAAAACTAGTCTTAGTAAATCTGAATGAATGGATGGTTGTGGTTCACCATAGTCCATATCCTGGGTTTCCTGACTCATCTAGCCCTTATAACTAAGTCGTAAGCCCTCAAAGACCCACTGCCTTTTAGAATTTGTGACTGGACTTTGGGCAATGTGACTATGGCCACAGGTAATGCAACCCCTCTAGGCAAGCCCAAGTCTCCACCAATCAAATCCCTGGCCTGCTGCTTAGTCCCTGTAAAGAGATTAGGCAGAGACAAAAATGAATAAGGAAGTGAGAAGGAAAACAAGATGGTTTGTAATGAGACCAAATACTGACACACGGTTCTTTCATAAAGCATACTTAATTGTTCAATGAATTCAAAAAGCATTTCTTGGTAACCTGATAAAAGACAAACACTATGTTAACGTCAACTACGATTTAGGTAGAAAAAAAATCAGGAGATGATTTTGAATGATTAATTCAGGAGGAAACAAAGAATATAAAACAAGGAATATGATAGACATGGGACCTTAAACATTTTAAAGCACAACAGTATTTTTTCCTTCTCATTTTTATATAATTATAGGTTCATATGAAGTTGCACAGATAGTTGAGAGAACTCCTGTAGCCTTCATCCAGGTTACCACATTAATGACATGTTATATACATACAGTCCAATATCAAAAGCAGGATATCAACATTAGGTAAAGGGAGTATAGCTCTATGTTATTTTATCACATTTGCATCATGTACCACCATACACCAAGCTACGGAACTATTCGATCATTCAAGGATTTGCCTCGTGCTACCCTCATTAGAGTCAAATCCATCTCCCTTCACCTCAACATCCTTAACCCCAGGCAGCCACTAATCAATTCTCCATCTCTATAATTATGTCATTTCAAGAACATTATATAAATGGAATCACAGAGTGTGCCATGAAGCACAATAGTATTTTGAGGCCAAATGAGTATTGTGAAAAAAACTGCTATGATTGGCAATATGTAGGATAGACTGAAGAAGAGGGAGACTACCGTAGTGGCAAAATATGAGCAACGATCAGTGGGGAGGTATGTAACGGGGAGGAGAAAACGCAGGAACAAATGGCAGATGTTGGAGCCCAGCCAAGAGACCAGCTTTGGAAATCATGGCCCTGAATCAAATGCCAAGAATTAAAAGATAAAATAACCATGCCAGTGATGCCTCAAACAAGCTGGGGGAAATATACACTATGACCTCAATGGATTTATTTGCCCCACAATTCATCTCCTTAGATAATGAAACTATACTATGTAGAAATGAAATTATTGACGATCAAGGTAACCCTTCATCTGGCAGTACTATGTGACAGAAGACTGGGATCTTGCCAGAGATTATACTCAGTACTAAACTGAATTAATTCCCCACAGCCTACCATCTCAACCAACAACAGTTGGCTTCATTTCTAATCCAAATGAATGTATAAATCCAAAATGAAACCTTAATACGTTCCCATGTCTATCTCCAATCAGGAAGCCTGTTGCAGTCATAGCCACAGAGATCCTGAATACCAGCCTTACTAGCTGAGTGGCATAAGAAAAGTTATTTCAACACGCTCAGATTCAACCTCTTTTCAGTAAAATGGGAGAATCCAGACCTACCATATAAACCTGCTGTGATGATTTAATGGCTTAACAGGTGTGAGGCCCCCAGGACAACGCCAGACACATAGCAGCAGGTGCCGAGTAATTCTAGTCAGCTTCCAGTACAAGCAATGAAAATTTAGAGAAACAAAATTTTACATGAATGAATGTTTTATGGGGGAACTCAATTTACTTGAAATCACAATGTATTCCATTTATCGGAGACCAAAACTAACACTGACGCTTTTACTTTATGGTAGCGTTACCCTCATGATGTTAGAGGAGACATTTCCATGTTCATGATCATACCTGATTTTTCGAAGACAAAATAGAAAGCAAAAGCCCAGCAAAATGACTCATCAGCTCCTGTGCTATAGCACTTTCTTGGTAGTACACCAGAAGGAAAATCACCAGGGCTGTAAAATCCAAATCAGTTTCACTCTGTGGCTTACAGAGTTCTTAGGGAAACAATCTAGTACAAGCAGACACGGATGATTAAACTAAAGGACCTAATACACAGGGCCAGAAAAAGAGAAAAAAGGCAAAGAACCAAGCTTAAATAGATATAGGAGTAAGGGTATAATAGTATATGTATAGGCTTACATAGCATGTGCTGCACATGCTAAATACTAAAGCAGCCAAAATTATCATGAGGAAACGAAAGGGGAAGGCGAACAGGAGAAGGAAGAAAACCGTGTAGCAAGCTCTGAATTCTGATTCAGGAAAAAATGGCTTCAAAATTTTAGAATATGTTGAATTACAATTACACCGAGGTGCTTTGCCAGAGAAATTTAAGGTGGTTGTTATGTGGTCAATACTACATGCAACATAAATAAAATGGCGGCTTCCATCCCTTATTCCTCTGAAAGCAACTGTCCCAACTAAAGACCTCTCTCTATTGCCACAAGC